AAAGCACACATACACCCACAAGTGTGAGGAAAAACATTTAATGCATTGACTACTGAAATATGCATGACCTTTCAAGATCAACACAAATAATTTGTCACGTAAAGCCTTGTTGATTGAAGGCGGCGCCTTTAAATTAAGGCTATGGATGCAAAAAGAGATGTCGCAATCCGAATAAGAATCAAGTCAAACTGGTATTTTAGAGGCTACAAAAGAGGTTCAGATAAAACCAATCCTAAAGAAGTTTTTCCTCAAATTTATGCACAGTCTAGCAACGTCTGACCAATAGCTAGAAAGCAGTTTTAACATGGGAAGACTTGTCAACACAAGTGAAACGTTTCACCATCGTAGTTCCCCCAGAAAGACTGGTCTCTTGTGTACTTCCGCAGTGAGCTGTGTTGAGCAGTCGCCCATGACCAGGCGTTCCGCGCGTTGAATTAATGTTAACGGCAATGATTGATGTCAGATGAGAATCACCACAGTTGGAGCAGTCACTGACAGGCGTACAGTCGGCTGTCTTTGAAGGGCTCACGCTGTCAGAGTGCACTGCTTCCATCGCCACGCTGTACTTGAAGTCTTCTGCAGATATCCAAGGATTTAATGTCTTCTTTGGCAAGAAGCTTCAAAACCAGGCGTTATTGCATGCACGTGCTACCACTGTTGTGATTGGAGCGATCTAGAACTAGTTTGCTAGCTATTAATAACACTTGCCACCTGTTGCTGTACATATTGCCGTCACAACGCACTTTTTAAATACAGCTATGATTTAAAGACTTAGTCTGCCCTTCCCAGGGGAAAATAATATGAAGGGGATGATCAAACCATTCGATCGTTCACTGAAATACAAATAAGTAAAAAAAGTAGCAGAAGAACTAACAGAACTGCATCGAAGAGTAGGTGACGGAGGAGATTGAGGAAGTGTGAAAGCATTTCTACCCTCCCCTGTGGCAGAGTAATGATCGCATCCGCTATTTGCTTCACTGTATTTTCGCTAGCAAATAAGGGAAAGAAAAGAACAAAATGAGGCTGTCATTTTGTGACCCCCGTAAGATGAACCTGTCTTTAGCAGCAATTCAGCACAACATACACACACACTAGTACTGCAGCCACTTTACATACAGTGTGGGGTGGATACCTGGTTTGCCTATGCGGTTGGTTAATTTTATCAATCAAAGTCAACTGCCAGAAAAGAAGTTCTAGCTCAAATCACTGATTAACATCCCGTGTTTGAGACCACTCATCCAAAATAAGTAATACCCACCAAACACACTACTTACATTAATCCAGCCCATGAATACCACAAGCTAATGTAACATCACTACTTCAGGACTAAGAAGGGAATTAACGAAAACTCCAAAATCCACCGCTAAAAAATTAAGCAACTTCTGACAATAGTGACTCAGTCATATAAATTTACTAAAACTAGCGTAACATAGGTTCCCACTTGAGTCGATTAGTAATGCAATCTACATAAAAGTACGGTTTTCCGATGGAAATTTTCCCACTTATCAAAGAATTGAAAAAGCCAGAGAGGTAAAGAAGTATCAATCAAAAACCCTGGATTATGAACGGCGCTTGACTAATGCTCAGCCATATTCAACCACCTTTCAACTTCAAATTACGTATCGCCACTCCCAAGTTATTTTGACACTGAAGTACACGCACATATACAGGGAGTGGCTTAGTGACATTCAAACGCAGTGCCACATCTGGTCAGCTGTTTAGAAAAGTCAAAGGAAATCCGTAATCCTCATCCTCTCAAAAAGAGGTGGCTAGTCACTCACCTCTCTAAACGCGAAAGCAGGGAATTTACTTCCAACGATTCCCTATAATGTAGTGAGCGTAGCTGGTAAATGAGTACACGGAGGAATAGGCCTGCAAATATACGGTTTTCCACACCAACACCTTCATCCGCTTCTTCCTGCAAAAAGCGCTTTAGCAGTCGCTGTACAAAACACTGGCGATCCAACGCCTGAGCCAGAACGACAGTCGCCTCCAGTGATTGGGTTGTAAAGAAGGAAAGGAATAGATTACGCACACAAAGGGCCTCCAAGTGGAGAAGGAGGATATCAGCCAGGTCAGTTCTGGAGGTGAGAAACTGTAAAACAACGGGTTGGCTGCAGACATGCACAAATATGCGTGAAACCAATTCCAAGGTGAAAAGGCTAGGAGGTTTCTGATCATCCAAGAGGAGGTTATAAAGGTCTTCTATTGCCTCTTTACATTCTGCAAAGGTGTCGGACAGATTGGACACGTCATGGAGGAAGAGATTTCCTACAATCTCCGATAACCTGACAAATTAAGGGAAAAAGTTTCTCAACAAGAGAGAGAATGAAAGAGCTTCGAGTGCGGTAAACTCACGCATATCGATTTTCATAGAACTGAGTCATGTCCGATTCTCGGCGAACGATTTCGATCATTTGACGAATATTGTGGGGTCTACATAAACTGAGGGAAAAGTGCTCTGTATGGATTAAAACTTACTAGAGAATGAGCCCAACATTTCCATCTGCATAGGCTTTAATGCACTGAGGGTGTATCAAAATGTTTTCAAGGTTAACATCCTGGAGGTAGATGGATGGTTAGAGAAAATCAAGGAAACTTACTGGATTTTTAAGGAGACCGTCTAACTGTATGCTGAACCCACTTTCATCTACCATTCGAGGTTAACGTGGCTGAAACGGAAAAGTGTAAAAGTGTTCACAAATGCAAAACTTGAAAATCCTGTAAAGCGGTGCAAAATAACCACAGACAAGAAGTAGTGTCCTGAATTTTTTGATGAAATCAGGTTTTTATCGCAATGATACAAAGGCATGGACAAACATGTTAGAAAATAATATATTGACGTTTCGTTAAAAGAATTTATACAGTGCAACCAAAACAACAATCCAAGCGAATATGCGCATCGAAAAATGAGCCTTGACTCAATGATAGAAACTGATTTACGTTAAGTCAAACTGATTAGTATTCAACCGTAAAATTAACGATAAAAAATGGCTGCAAAAAACTTAAACTTAAATGAGAATTAAACAGTTACTTAAAGCAGGACAAATGCATGCACTGATCAAAAAGGGATAATATTGTGTTCTACGGCTTGGTGGACAAACCGTGTGTTGCGCTAATGCACATACAGATCAAAAGAGGAGTTTTGTAGGCTAGAAAACCAACACTCTGAACGAATTAGAACCAAGGTCATCAAAGCCTAATGAAGATTATCAGCCAAAATTTAAGTATTTTATCATTAATGCAGTTTCCTAACCCAAATCCAGGGCGTGTTTATTAAAACGCATCGCACGATGTATTGACTGACGTAAAAAACCATACTGCAAAGTAATAATTATTTGTTTGCTTCTTCATTATAATTTCGTAGTGGCTATAAGCCCGATCTTTGCATTCTTTCTAAAAAAATGCTTTTCAAGCCATGTTGGTAGCCTTGAGTTTTTCTAAACAGCAGTAATGTATATTCTGCCGTAGTATCATATCTTCCGCCTTTATGGGAGTCTCGGTATGCCACACACACCACGCATTAACTCCGATTTTCTTGATTGGCAAATATATAGATACGGTGATAGAACGACACTGCACCAGTGTCTGTCCTATTACCTTAACTAGGAGCGAACTACCTACCACCCCACTCACGCTTTTGTAACCATCCCAACGCCACCCCTTTTCGCCATCGACTTCCAATTCTCTTTTATTCACTACCAAAACCACTAATAATTCCACAAGCTTACGCAACATTTCAAGCGCATGACCGTTAATCCCACAATGATTGATGATACACACCTCGGTACCGAATCAGTTAATTGTTACATTTCCACATACAAATAAAGCTACTACCGATCCCACTAGCAATTGAAAAACAGATCCAGATGTACTGATCTTAGAGGACACCTCCTCCGCCTCTAAATATTCTCATTCACATTTTGCAGAAATTTCTGGATACTTTGAGGACTACTATGAGAAGGATTTCGAAATCTCGTCTCAAGCAAAACCTTCGAAAAAGGTAACAGTAGAAAACTACTTAATTTCTTTTCCACTCGATTAACAGCGACAACCAATGCACTGCTCACCTAGGCCATCAGGTTAACTCAGTTATGGTGCCAAATAAACCTGACAGCAGGCAGAACAATTTAATGTCAGACAATGCATCTCTAATTAATCCAACAAAGTCCAACTTCAATACACCCTTAAACAAGCTTATCAATCAAAGACAATTAATCTCGAGTTCTGACCCATATGTCATGCAAGCCCTCTGCTTGTCCCATGGCGGAGCTTTCGATAGACTGAGGTCGTGCTTTAGGCATTTTTAAATTCTGTAACAAAGGTAGGAGGTTATCTTTTTCTGAGCAAGCAGTCAATTTGTAGGAAAACGGAAACACCAAACTTTGATGGTGGGTAGTAACAGGAGATTACAAAATGCTGGATGGCAGCGATATGACTATTTGGTGAAACGCTGACAGTGCTTTACTTAATGCTTGGGGTGAGAGGCGATAAATGCAGGAGTTTGTAGTGGTAGCAATCGCATTTAGTATGAGCCGCTTATCCAGCGACGCGAAGCCGTTTGAAATAAACTCCTTGACAAGGCAAAGCATATGGTCGAGGGAGACCTCCGCGACTGTGCATTTAGGCGCACCGCCAGTGGCTACTGGAAGCAGATGACGATATCACGCGACTGTTGAAAGTAAAGTCAAATAAGGACTCAGGACAGTTGGCACCAGATACTACTAAAACAAGTTCCACAGGACTATAGACTAGCCATCCTCCTGATACCTTGCAACTGCTAGCTGCTATTAAATTGCGTCCCATCACCAATTTTCAAGCGCCCAAGGTCTAAGGAAAAAAAATAATAAACCAGGACAGTAATTGCATTAAAATTGCACTAAACATTACCTTATAACCTCTTTTAAAAACTATTTTAATGACGCATCGTGTTTTTTAGACGTGATTGCTCAAAGTCAATGCAGGCACCACGTATATCCACTAGTAAGGATATAGACAAGGCCAAGTGAGGTTTGTCGTGTAGCATGATCACCATGCTGACTTATTTCCCTACAGAGGAGGCAGTCCACTAGACCAACTGGTCGTCTTATCTGCTTTGCAATGCTTTCAAGTGGCGATGAGGGGTGTGGCTGGATATCATGCCGAAGCACCACAAAGTGGTGGTAATTCCTGTGGAGTGCCATCGGGAACTGCTTCCATCTCAAATTCTGCACTGTAGTAAGCAACAGCGCAGACGAAGATGGAAAAAAGACTAAATCGCAGTAGAAAACACAGAGATTCATGGGTATACATCTCCTTTACATACCTCCAAGAAAAGCAGTTGTCATGAAGAGAGTGCTCCTCGATGAAGATCAGGCAGCTAATTTCTTACCGACGCAGTTTGAACAGAAGATGTAATAGTTAAGAACCCCACATTTAATGCAACTAATAGGAAATAAACGATATGACTTCATCTTCCTCCTCACACCTTGGGGTCACTAGTAATTTAACACAATTTTGACAGTTAAATTAGGGGTGCAACAACAAGGACTGTTCAAAACGCAATTACATTGACCTTTTCAGTCACCAACAGCTCTCCCATTCTGCAAGTTGACGACGCCACTTGCATGGACAACTCACTACGTTAAAAAGAGAAGAACATCAAATTTGACGGGTTTTATACTGCACAAAAATGCAAAAACAGGTAAATATTAGTAGTGAATATTCAAATAGGAGACGGTACTGCTGAAACCACGTCGAATATTCGTAAAATATCTTAAACTCAAATCATGCTTAATAAAGGGAGATAACATAAAAAGGCACCTCAAACTACTCAAGTTCCCTCTGCAAGTCAGTCGCCTAACTAGACCCTCCGTCCCGCAGAACTGACTAATCGGTGTTTCCATCCAGCGGCCAAAATCAACGGGAATGGGAGATAACATTAATGTAGCAGCCATCCGAACCTACAGCGAAGTGTTTAACATCATCTGGCAGAGTGCCATACCTCTCTTTCACTGCATTCTGTCTCTCCTCCTCCTTTGCTGCCATCGTCGACTGAAAATACATAGTCTTCGCTTTCAACTCCTCAAGTTCCTCGCTGTCGGCGGACACTTCTAAGCCAGCCTCAAGCATCTTCACAGCCTCCATAGATTTAAAATGAATCACCAACGATTTTGCCACTCAGAAATTGACCCTGAAATAGGTGGGATACTGCTTAATCACCTATTTATAGTCCTTCACACACAAAATATGATTTCTGTTGAAAATTGCCCCAAACTTAGGGGAGGGGAGATCTACTTCTCTGCTCATGTACCACTTTCCGATTGGAATAGAATACAGAAAAACGTTTCTTATTAGTGGGTTTAGCAAAAAGAACCCTCGGTATGGACGGTGATAATCTCGTGGCCTTTCTTCTTTACAGAGTAATTCTCCTTCTTCTTGAAGCTCTCCGCTTTGGCGTTGGGGTCATTACTTTCATGCTTAGTAGTGCAGTGGGTCTGGTAATCAGGATTTCCCTTCGTTCCTTTTCCTGAGTTAACAAAAAGGAGTGATGGAGGATACCTCTCCGGCAGAGGTTTCAGTCGTCATTTTAAAATTACAGACATAACACCGTTTATTTATGTGTCACAAAGAAATAATATGAATAAGTTTTACCATAATTCAGCAAAGATAGAGAAGCTGGCAGTTTAAAACTAAGGCAGAAATATACTTCTGGGTGACAATAGGGTAGAGCGATTGCTTACCTCACAGGTACAGGCTGGAAACACATTCTAAAGATGCCTTCAGGGTTAATTCTAAGTATTTGTGCAATGCAGTTTAAAAGCCAAGAAAATAGTGCTAGAAAAGTAGCAAAATATAACTAGTTAGCGATAACAAGCCCGATTACTGATATATCTTGAGCACAAAAGCATAGATAATGCAGTGGAAGCCTAAGGTCTTTAACAACATGGGTTTAATCAGAAGATACAAATGTGATAGCAAGATTATTTGTTTAACTCTTCATTTGGGTTTTAAAGACGGTCAAGTTTCCGATTCTATACTTTTGTCTCCGTGCCATGCCAGAATTCCCTCCCCACCACGGGCTTCTTTCGTCATGTAAGTCTCTGGGCACTATAATGATGGCCACAAAAGCAAACTTGATTCCAAAGGACAACTACCATAATTCTTATTTCCAGATGGTGG